TAATAGTGTCGCCATCACTTTGCAGATTGGGAAGTTAGGGACTCAGAGCTTTTAAATAAGGTTGCATTTGATGTAAAGAGATGGAAACGGGGTCCAAACTTACACATTGTAGAATCTGTGTTTTAAACTACTTTACTGTCCTGACTCTGAAAGAATGAATAGTGGGATACCGTATGTAACTGCTGAACGTGGTACTCAACACAGAAAGTGTTCAGTATAGAATTACTGTGAAGATGCACTTTCACTTTTGCATTGGTTGACAGTAGCAACTTTTGTATACAACAGACTTTATGAAGTTTTGATAAAAGATGATCTAAAACAAACAATTTAAGACGCCTATCAAGTGAAATGCTGGCATTTTTAAGTGCTTGGATCTGATGTAAGTAAGATACTTTCTGTTTAATGAACATCTAGCAAAACTCCATCACTTGAGCAACAAATTCGGTGAACAGTCACTCCAAACCACTCTGAAGCTTTCCGCGACACGAATCCTCTACATGGGATGAGCTTGAGTGTCATAGCTGCTCAGCTCATAGCATCTCACAGACAGTAGAGTGTCTGCCAGGGGCAAAGTGACCTCGTAGCTCACCCTGGGAGGCTCATTTCTGGGACCATGGTCAGATCTCAGATCATCTTCAAACTCACTCACTTGGGGCTCTCCACTTGGCTGTCTCAAGACAGAAAAAGGGCTTCTTGGGCAGGGGTGGGGAAACTTGTTTTCTTCCATGGGTCTTTTGGGTATTTAGAAATCATTTTTGGGTCATAAAAATTATCAGGTTAAAAATCAGCCTGCTATAACTTTATTGAATTTCAAGTGCCAATGTCGTTTGGCAGGACCAGACCACATGATTTCTTGGGCCATATGTTTCCAGCCCTGCACGGGACAGTGAGAATGAGACAAAGCTTACAATTTAGAATCTTCAATTTTCGCACCTATCTCAGAATAACACTTACGATTTCTACATGTTCTGTTTGAAGCAAGCCATGAAGTCTTGCACATGATCAAGGGCAGACGGTGACCCACAGAGAGCAGTGCCAGGAAACCAGCAGGAGGACATAGGGGATTGACTTAAACCCCTTGGTGGCACACATCTGTGCCAAGAGTACCAAGAATACTGTGCCAAAGAACAGTTTAGCCAGTATGGCAGCCATAGAACTCAGCCTACAAAATGAAGCTTTGTATGAGGTTCCAGCGTTGTTTGTACAGGCATTTTATTTCCACAAATTGCCTTAGTATGTTTCCCCTTTCTATACTTGTTCCTTTTTTTGGAATGAATTATAGGGGGAAAATATTAGTTTAATAATTGGTATCATTTGAAAAACATTTTCCCCTATTTGATTGCTTCTGGTTATAACAGTGTATAATCTTTTCAGCTTTGTGTGAATAAAACAGATTGACAAACCAGAAAGAAACACTCTGGGCCTCTCTCATCTTGGCAGAAGCTATGGAGTCAGGAGAAGACCGCTGTGCTTGGGTGGCGTCACGGAGGTGAAGGATGCTGTGTAAATGGGCCGATCCATCCACACCTGGCTGTTTTGAACTTGGTCCCATTAGAATGATCTGAGTTTCATTCCAAATGTTACTTTTCTAGGAAAGGAAGGAAGGAAGGCAACCAGAAAGTCCTTTGTTCCTCTTTATCCTCATGGGTAAAAACGTGCCTCCCCTTCTGATGGGCAGGTTGCATGCACTTAGGGCTACCTCGCAACTGAGGTTACTTATGAGGCACGTGGAAGTAATGGAATTAAATTTCCTCCTCTCGTGCTACAAACCTTTATAAAGGGTGCCATAAATGTCGTACTTACTTTGTTTCTTGAAAAGCAATTTTCCTGTCAACGCAATCTGTTTCTTTGAAATACTGTATTATTAATCTGCGATGGTTTCTTTAAAGTGCATCAAAGGATATGCCTCAGTGAAGTTTTATCCTTTCACTACCTTCCTGTGAATTTTCCTGTAACTTCAAGGTTTGCTGCTAAGTCACTAATTATTCATAAAGGCTGGTGAGATTGCTTTGTTTTATCCTCCTAACGAAATACATTAAAGTTTAAAGAAAATCTTTAACAGAGTGTAAAATGCTAACAAGAGGCAAGGAAATTAAAAATCGTTTTCAGCTAAAATGGGAATTTTGAAAAAAAAAAAATAGAGGCAATGTCAGCCCACGCTTAGCGATGGTGTCTGAGACACCTCGAGGTGCCCAGGAGAAAGGACGAAGTGTGGTGGGGCATCTGTGGCTCCGTGGCACCCCGCTCTGTGCAGCTGCATCAGAAACCATCCCAGGGGTGCATGGAAAGGCTGTGAGAAAACAGCAAACGCAGCACGTGTGCCCTGCTTTCTCCGCCATGTTCCTGCTGGCTGCCACAATATTCCCCCAAGAAGGGGATGGCACAAAGTTACACACTCAAAAAAAGTGATGCTTTTAATAAAACCTTGAGAAATCATGGACTACAGCTCACAAAATGCGATGGGGCTTTCTAGTGATCTGAGATGCCACTACAATGACCTTTTAAATAGCACCTTAACTGTGCTTTGTAGTACACGGTTTGAGGTCATTGATTTACAGTCTGTGAGAAAAGCCAATTTTCCTTTTCTGTAAGACGTATTGATTTAGGACAAAAAGCGTAACTAATTACATCCTTGGAGGTCAAAGGTGAGCTGATCAGAGAGGAACGAGGACGAGAGAGAAGACAAATGTTAGTAATGGTATTTGCACCTACACACCTATTTTTGAGATCTAATTCACTAGCTACGAATTTTTCTTTTATCCATATGATTACCGTGAAGGAATAGAGCTTGTCATGACTCACACGTGGAGTCTGCATGTTTAGCAGAGCCCGTTAGTAAAACCACAGGAGCAGAGCATTCAGGAAGCAGGGTGAGCCAAGAACTCAGTGCAACCTCCACTTTTTGGATGTTTTCTTGAGCACTCAAAACCTTAAAAGGGTTTTAGAACGCTTCATGGAATCATTTATTTAACTGAATATTGAAGAATGGAAGTGAATTTTTAAAAATACATATTTGTTCTTATTTATTTGAAAGGCAGAGTTAGAGAGAATTAGAAAGAGAGAGGAGGGGAGATCTTCCAGCTGGGTGGTTCCCTCTCTATTTGGGGTGGCACCAGCCAGGGCTGGGCCAGGCCTAACCCAGGGCTGCATCTGAACCCATGTAGGTGCAGAGGGTCAAGTGTGTGGGCCCTCCTCCACTACATTCCCAGGCTTATTAGCAGGGAACTAGATCACAAGTGAAGAAGCTGGGATTTGAATCAGTACCCTCATGGGATGTTGGTGTTACAGGCAGGGACTTAACCCACCATGCCACAACACCAGCTCTGCAGTGACTCCTTAGAGAAACCCTACTTGTCACTCTACTGAGTATGTTTTTCTTCCTCCTTGTAGAACTGATCTGCTTGCTGGTTCCTGGCTCAGTTCCTCGTCCTGCGCATCTTTCTGTTTCTTAAATCTGCTTCATTCTCTCCTGCCTGACTTGCTGTTTATTATACTAGAGATAAGCACTGCTTTCCTAATCCCTGCTTGACCAGCCACGCAGGGGTCTGCAATGAGCTCACTGTCGTGGAAGCAGCCACATGTGCATGAGTGTCACTCATGTGGCCCTCCCCCTTGGCTTCTCTGGTCACAGCTGGCCAGAAACCATTTGGTGTTTATGAAGCTTGGAGAAAGGAAACATTAAAGGCATTTCCCAGGCAGTAAACACCTTGTGCATTGGCAAACCATGAGAAATTCTCACTGACTACATAAAAAAAAATAATTTTTCTTCAAGAGCAAAGCAGTTTTTCTTTTTTTAAAAAGCAGTAATTTAAGCATCTGGTCTGATTTTCAGAATGAGCAATAGGAACTCATTTGGAAACTTGCACTTGTGTTTATTTCCAAGGAGCACGGCTGTAAGAAGGGCTCACCAAAAAGTGCATGGACTTCAAGTAACTTTTGTTAAGTGATCTTTGAGTTACATCATCAGAAATATACAGATTCTAATTTTCCCTTGAAATACTACAATAGCTTAGCAAAGTGTGAGTCATGTGACTGTGTACATGTGCTAAAGAATTTAGGAGAGCTCCATGTTCGCTCCTACATCCGACCTCATGAAAATGATGAAATCTGAACAACAAGAACACTTGAGTTCTGGTGTTAGCAGTATTCTGTATTTCAGGAATGTCTTCTCGGTGGGGGCAGCTGGAAGGAGGGCACATGGGCACTCTGATATTTTCAGCTTCCTGAAGCTTCAAACTTGACCTGATTGAAGACGAGAAGCGTTGCTGGATCTCGGGAAGGGCAGGAGCAGAGCTGAATCTTCCCACTTTCTCCATCATTTCTCCCAGGAACTTCACAGGGACTGACACGCCCTGGTTCCAGCTCCAGGCTGCATCTCTTCTAATTCACGAGTTAGACATGCTGCTGGTTTGACACATTTTAGCAGGATCACAATCATCTCGAAATTACTACAAGCGTGAGTGCTGGAGCAAGCTGCCTGCCTCTAGATGACCGAGCCTGTGAAACGAGGCCTCAGAGTGAACCCATTTCCACATCCCTATGACCCTAAGGTCCAGGCTAATCCCAAATCTAGACCATCTGTTTTTATGAGTTGTTTATCGAAAAAAAAGGATCATTTACCAGGTTGGACTTCTGCAAACCTGCATCTTTTGATTTTGACTATGCGGGAGACACAGGAAAGTGATGCTTCTGGAAGGATCTGCAGCCTGGTTGCTTGGAATGTGGTCAGCAGGCGGCTTCGCGCTCTCAGTTCTCAACGTCACTCATCTGCAGAGAGCTTCTTCCCCTTCCAGTAAAACAGGACAGTTCAGTACATTCCTGCCCTGGTACTGGCATCATCTTTTTTTTTTTTTTTTTTTTTGCTGAAGGAATTCTAATTCCTGATAAAAGGAAATTGTTCTAGGAACTATGATCCAATGGGAGAAATAATCATTTTTAGTCGGTTGACTGTTTTCTAGGTCTTCCAAATGGTCAGCACTGAGAGATTTAAAAGCAGGAATCGCCCCTGGCAATGGGTAAGGGGACATCTCATTGGTGGTGTTGCTCTTCCGTCAGCCAGGGGCAGAGCAGGTGCAGTCCTTTGTTCACCCTAGCTTGATGCCTGTTGGTGGCCAGAGCTGTTTCAGGCTTAGGACACAGACAAATCCTTATCTCAGGTCTACTGCACACGTATCAGGGTTTGCAGTAGGAGGGCAAGGGTTTCATGGGCCATGTTTATGTCATCTGGTTCTTTGAGCTGTGTTTTAGTGGGGTGAATTGAATGGGTCACAGTTTTCAACTTAAGGCTGCTGAAAACTAAGTCCATGGAAAACATGGGTGTGTCTAACATTGGTGCATATATGTGTATATATAAAGGCAAGACTGCAGCATCCTGGCTTGTGGCTGAGCAGACCCACAGTCTGGCCTCTGGGAATGGGAGACCCCTCTAGCCGAAGTGTGGGTTGGGGGCTCGTGAGTTGGAGAGTCCAGCCGGGGGCTGCAGACCTAAGATCCAGGGGGAGGTTGCTATTCCAACTCAAGTGACAGCAGGAAGCAAATTCAACCTGTGTGTGCCTTTCAGGTTGGTAGAGAGCCTCAGTGGATCACACCAGGTTCACTCACATGAGGGCAGGCCACCTGTTCTCCTAGGTCTGCTAATCCATATGCTAATGTCTTTTGGAAATACTCTTACAGAGACAACCAACAATAGTGCCTATCCAGGTATCTGGGTATCCTGGGGCACAGCCAAGCTGATACAGAATCAATCCACAGATTCTATAATCCTGCATTGGTTTCCCCCGGATACTCATTCAAAACTCAGGTGCTAAGGCTCAACTCAGAGGTATTGAATGAGAAGGTGTGTGCTAACAGTCTCCTCAGGCGAGAAGTTTGAGAGAACATCACGGAGGTGAGATCAGCTGCTCCAGGACAGGCATGTGTGCTCCTCAATTTTTTTTTTAATTTCCTACATTTTTCTGTTTGACTTTTGGAGAACAATCTGAAGCTGATCATTATTTTGACATAAAATATTTAGAGGAATGCATTTTTTTTGACTGCCAAAAGACAGCTTCACAATAGGTGAGAAACAATTAAACATGGACCGGAAATGAGAAGATACAAAGTTCACTTTGTATCCAAAGTGGCTTTTTAGTGTGAGGACAGGTTTACTGTTGTAGATTTCCTGTGGCTTAGAGATGCAAGAATTAAGCATTGTCACAGCAGCACGGCCCGCAGAGCACCAACAAGGCAAAGGTACTGCTCTGCCTTCTGCATGAGGAGAGGGGACTTCTGAAGAACTCACTCCTGCCCGAGATCCCTCAGGGAGTAAGAATCTGATCCTAGGAGCACTGAGACTACCAGTGCAATAAGGCACTTGATGTGGAAATGTCTCTGTGTGAAGTCACCACGCTAGGATGCCGTCAGCCTCTCTCCTTGCTCCTTTCTGCTGGGGGCTCTGTTCTCTGGACTTTGTAACCTCGCCTTCACTGCCCGTCTCAAGTGACACCGCGCTGCTCTACTCCTGCCTTCATCCCTGCCCTCTGATGAGAAAATCTAGGCTCTGTGATGGACTGCGGAGTTAGGAGTTAATGTTCCATACAGCTCCCAAAATTCTGCATCTTTGTAGACAGATTTTTTTAAAAGAAATATTGAATTAACTTGAGTAGGAGAGAGAGGCACTCCTGTGTGCTGGTTTACTCAACAAATGTTCATAGTGGCCAAGACTGGGCCAGGCTCAAGCTGGGAGGTGAGGACTCAATTCAGGTCTCCAACATGGGTGAACAGCTACTTGAGCCTTCATGACTGTCTCGCAGGATGTGCATCAGAAAGAATCAAGAATCGGCTGAGGAGCAAGAGAGGAGATGCAGGTCTTTCAAGCAATATCTTAACCGCTACGGTGAACGCCTGTATCCAGGTTTGTATTTTTCTGTCTTTCATCTCTACAGTGTTCCGTGAACCCAGAACATAAGCAGACAGATGGTCTGAGGGGGTGCATGTTGTAGCTTCCTTTGTACCAAAACAGTTGCCATCAGTCTTACTACCTCGTTTCGCTCTGTCTCTGCTTAAATCAACACTGTCACAGTTATCTGGCTTGCTGACAGAAGTTGGCAGCCAAAGGGAAATCTTCCTGGTTCATTTTAGAAAGGGAAAGTCTAAGAAGATTCCAGAATCTACAAATCTTTCTCAGAATGGCCTTACCCTTTGAAGATCTGTTGGACTGAAGTGTATTAACAGCTGATACGGAAATAAAGGGCACTTATGTCAGGTACTGTGCCAAGTACTGTTCAGAGTACATCTTGGTCTCTGCTCCTGTTCAGCAGGTGCTTTCAAGCCTGTTTTGGAGACAGAGAAACTTGTAGCCAGGTAACATTTTTACTTGTTCGTACCTTGGTTTCCTCAGATATTTGGGAAGACCCTCCTACATTTAAGGCACGTTAGTTCAACCTGTTACAGACATTTATGGAGCATTAATCCTGAAAAGGGGAGAAATTGACAGTAGCTAGTGCTCACTGAAGGCATTTTTGGGTTTTTCCATGTGTTAGGTGCTGGGCTCTCCAATCTTTGGTTATTTCATGTTTTCAGTAATCCTCTGAAACATTTTTTTTTGGTCTCATATTCGACAAATGGGGAAGCTGGACATGTTTCAAATGATATACTTACTGATCAGAGCTTGGACTTAACCCTAAAAGCTGTCTCTAGATCTACATGCCTCACTACTGTGTCATGTCTATTTTTCAAATTTTTGTACACACACAGACAGAGACAAAGGTGAGAGAAAGAGAGTGCATGCAGCCACATTCCTACCCTCTGGTTCACTCCCACATCCCATGAAACCCAAGAATGAAGTACAGAGTCTCCCACTTGGGTAGGTAGCTAATTGCTTGAATCATCATAGCTACCCTCTAGGGTGTGCATCAGTAGGAAGCTGGGATCAGAGCAGAGCTGGAACTTCAACCCACACTGTGGGAAGTGGGTTTCTCAACCATTAGTGCAAACAACCAGCCCATAGTGGTCTTTTTGTTTAAAATGTGCATGCACACACACACACACACACACACACACACACACACACACACACACACCAGGTGACATAAACCAGCTTGGAGCAGATCCTGATCCACTCTTCCCTCTTTGCAGACAACCTGTCAGCAGCTTCGTCAGACGGGGTGTTTCCTCCGTCCTTGCCTGCAGGACCTCAGAACAGTGTCACCAGGGTAGCAGTGTTGATCTCACCCTGCTGTGCCAGGGGCATTTGCTGATGTTAAAGACACTTTTAGTTATCCCAGGTGAGTGAGGGGGGTTACGGCGGGGCGGGAGGGTGTGTCATTGTCAAGGAGGCTGCTGCACGTGCTGTGGCACAGGGAGTCCCACAGCAGAGAGGCCAGCCATGACTGCCGGCAGTGGGCCGCGCCAGTGCAAAGCACACACCCACACCCTTCACCAAACGCTAGTCCCTCAGAGGGACTTCCTCTTGTCTTTTCAAAACTTACCTCAAGCAGCAGCACCTCCTGGAAGCCTTCCTCGCACCCCAACAGATTCTTTATATTTTTAAGCCTCTGGTAAAATATTAGCTTGTCTTTCTAGCTGTCCCTTCCACCACATTCCCAGTCAGCCTGCCCAGAGAGTGCTCATGTCAGCAGAAGGATGACAGAATTAGGCTACAAATATGCTTCTTAAAAAGCCGTATGAACTATTTCAAAGTCAAAGAAATGAGTTTCCTCTGGCTTCTTGGATGCAATTCAAGCCATACGTTTTTGATCATTAGCAGTTATTCAGCTTTTAATGAAATGCAAGCCATTCGCCTCATTGTTGAATCTGCCAAGGTGCTTCCTTCTTTGGTTTTCAGCAGAGCATCCCCATATTTTCTTTTAATTTCTTTTCTTTTTGAAGTTGAGTTTATTCAGGGGCAATTCACATACAATAAAAAAGCCACTCTTTATAAATAGTGGGTCTTTTGGACCAGGGCCTACCGTGATGCAACCGTAGCCAAGGGGGAGGAGACATGCTTGCCCAGTATGAGCAGTGAGCCCACAGCCCAGGTCTACCTATTGCCACCTATTTTATTGTATTACTGTTTGTTTGGTTTTTTTTTTTTTTTTTGCAAGAAGCATGTATTGCTTTCACAAACATTTGCTGTCTGGTGTGTGGAAGTGTGACTTCCAGCCAGAAAAAGCACTTTGCAGTTCTTTTCAATGCTGTGACACGTATGTGGAAGCTGTACTCACCCTCAACCATAAAGAACGGTAGCTTTCTGCTAATCCTGTCTGTCCCACCTAATAATGCTCCCTTTTCCCCTTCCCCGAACATATCCTCAGCCCCTCACAGTCTCAGGGCTTCTTGCTATACCATGGTGCTTCTTTTTTTTTTTCCAGAAAGTTTCACCATTGGAACCAGAAAGCAAAGTGTATTTTGTATCTTTCTTCACTTATCCTAATGCTGGTGGGATTTGTCTGTAAGGTTGGATATATCAATAATCTGTTATTGCTTTTGGTCCCACTGCCTGGGAGCACCGAGGCTCCAGCGAGCCTGGCTGTTTGGACTGCTTCCAGTTTTTGAAGGTTGTGAATAAATCTGTTATAAATACTTGCTTACAGGGGCTTCTGGGGACATAAATTTTTATTTTTCCCAAGTAGCTACTCAAAGTGAGACTCCTGGATCATATGGCAATGGCGGATTTCACTTTATAAGAAACTGACTGTTGCGCAAACTTCTCATGACAGTTCCAGCCATCTCGTGCTGCTAACACCCCTTCCAGTTCTTAGCAGTTTAGCTGTGAGCCATTTTATTTTATCATTTCATTTTTAAATAAATGAGCAAGTGAGTGTTGGTTCGCTCTCCAAGTGTCCATAACAGCCAGAACGGGGGCAGGCTGAGCCAGGAGTTCCAGCCTGGCTGCTGTGGGTGACAGGAGTGTCATCCTTGAGCCGTGACCTGCTGTGTCTAGGCTACAACAGTTAGCTAGACCTCCCGAGGGGGGGCTCCAACACAGGCTCCCACAGGAGATGCCGATGGCCACAGTGGTCTTATTGTTTGAATTCTTCCGTGGTTGGTAATCTTTTTTTTTTTTTAAAAAAAACCTTTTAAAAGTTTTTATTGGAAAGGCAGATATACAGAGAAGGAGATACCGAAAGAAAGATCTTCCATCCACTGAGTCACTCCCCAA